CCGCCCGGGCCCGGCCCAGGGCGCTGGGAGCGGAGAGAGGGGCCCTTCGTCCCCAGCCACCCGCCGGGGCGGAGGGAACTGGAAGATTCGCGACTTGTAGGTCGTCCCGGGGCGGAACTCGCTAGGGCTTGGGACAGGCAGTGTGTAAGAGGGTGGCTTGTGTCGGTGTGTAGGAAGGCCGAAAGCACCGAGATCTCTTGAGCTGGATCGACGGGGTCCTAAGCCCACAGCCCAGCTCACGGGACAAGCAGAGGAGGGCCAAGGTCAAAGATCTTGTGTCAGACTGAACGTGTAGTAGGCATCCACCCCCTAGCACCAGCCGGTGCAGATCCAGCTCCCAGCAGCCTCCCCTTGGGAAGCTGACGGTCTAGACTTGAGTAAGCATCGGGGCCATTATTGGAAAAAACTCTTAAGGCACTGGGTGAACCAGGCCAGAGACAAGGATACAGGTGGAACCATGCCTCCCTGCTCTCCAACCTTAGAGATGAGAGAATGTTCTCTCAGGCCAGTAATCAAAGGGATGACGTGGGGAAGAAGAGAAAAGGCTTTGTGCATTGGGGCTAGAAGAGCAAGTGGAAGGAATGAGAAAACACCCCCCCCTTCTTTTGGCAGAGCACCCTGCACTTTTATTTCATGTCACTTATCACATTGTGTAATTATATGTTTATTGGTAAGACAGGCAATAGAGCTAGAACTTAACTGTTGAAAATTTAAACTCGGCAGTCAGACCGCTTGGCTTAGAATTCTGGGTCACTTACTGATCGGTTGTGTGACCATAGGCACGTGATGGTGCCTCTGTGACCGTACCTGAAAGAAGGGGAGTAATCGGATGTATCCCATAGGGTTGTGAGCATTAAATGAGTTAAATCACGTCAAGCACTTCGCTTAGCACCTGGCACATGGGTTAGTTACCTTTAGTATTTGTTAAATATTTGCCTTGCCACAAAATCATAGGTTGCACTTTTAGGTTAGGCAGAGCCTCTGCCTCTTTTGTTCACCATTGAGTAATCAATCAGTCCGTACCCCCAAACAAATATCTGTGAAACAAAATGTCACTTTGAGATGCAGGCAGTGGGGTTCCCACCCCTTTCTCCACCCTGACCATTGCAGGGTATGGGACAGAGGCACATTACTGTTTCTCTGGCTAGATTCCTGAGCTGCCCAGGCATTTGTACCCCAGTCGGCCCCAACTGAGTAGGGCGGAGCTGGCGCCAAGGGCTTCAGCTCATTTTTGATTACAGCAGCACACCCACTGGGAGTTGGGCCTTCACTGTTAACAGGCTTCTTTGCCAGAGGAGGCAGTGGAGAGGCTGAGAGGTGGCCCAGCTTCCTAGGCGGCCTCCCCAGGGGGTGGGTGGAGCCAAGCTCCCAGGGAGGGCTTCCATCTTTCCCTTACCCAACAGCCCTAGGAGCTGGTCCAAGAACCAGACTGTCTAGGGCCGGATGGAGTGGGTAGGGTGGAATCAGGGACTAGGAAGGAGTGGAGCCCAAGAGGAAAAGCATTAAAACCTTCCTGGGAGGAACGAGCAGAAAGGGCCTAGGGAAAGGAGAGAGGTGGCAGAGCAAGGTGCCTTGCTCCTCCCCAGGGCAACCGGAAATGAAGTGGTGAGGGGTAAGGCCACTTCCTACCTCAGAACACTAGGGTTGGAGCAGGTCCCCAGTCCCACTTTGGGGCAAGGCAACAAGAGGGTATATATGGAAAAGGCAGTCCGTCAGCCTTACAGGCAGAAGAAGTGAAGCTACTCAGACTGCTCTCCAGAAATGGGTGAAGGCAGCAAACTCCAAACTGGGGCTGCATGTCAGTGAATCATCAAGGTGCCCTTCTAGAGGTTTCTGACCTCCAGATGCTGCCCCTTGGCACTTTATATTCATTCCTGGAAGGTAGAGTGCAGAGATAGAGAAAGGTCAGCTCCACACAGACTAATGCTGCCATAGCGTCATGGCAAAAGGTATCAGGACAATCATTTACCCATCCTCCCAGACCTGCTGTGAGAGGGGATGTCCTCCTGGCTGAGTGCGAGGACCCTGCACTGGGCAGCCATAAGGAAGCTTTTGCTTGAAGTGGATGAGAAAGACACTGGGGCGAAGCCTGCTCCCTGCACTATGCCAGCACAGCTGGCCACCTCTCAGCAAATACTTGTCAACCCTACTATGTGCCTGGTACTGCCTCTTATTTGGTGAAACAGCCAAGTAAGACAGACAGAAGTCTCATAGTTAGAAAGAAAGAAATCCATCCACCCCCTGGTCCTTTCTGTTCCTAACTCCTTTCCCCTCTCACGGCTGCTCTCAATAGCTCAGAGGCTGACACATCCACGGTGGCAATCTTGAGCAATCTCTATAGACACCTCTATGTGTATACACAAGCACAAACATACACACCCTCTTGATCTCCATTGCTATAGCACCCACACAACCTCCAGCTACCCCACAGCAATTAGAAGGAAGATACAGACAAATAATAACGAGCTCGCCGACTCTCTGCGCATCAGTATCTATGGCAACCTCCTGGGGTCCACAGGCTGTGCTGTTCCAGTTGCAACCGGTCCCCTGGGCAGCACCAGTGCTCAGGTCGTGCCCACAGCTCTGGGAACAGGGAATTACACAGGAAATTGATGTTCTGATAATCACCAGAGTGGCTCCTCTGGGTGGGACCCTCGTCATCTTGCCAATCCTTCTCTTTGGAGCCTCTGAACATGAAACAGCCCCCTGAATCAGCGAGAGCTCCCCCCGCCCCGAATTTTTGCCATGCAGTTTTAGGATAAGAGAGTGCTTATGCTTCAGTCTTAAGGAAAATGGTGGAGTTGAAAGTGAGGTATTTGAATGTAAGGGGCATGAGACCCTCAGAAACATACAAGAGCTACCTATTAGTTAAGGATGTTATAAAATAAATCCTAAATGAAATTTCTTATTGGGTGGATGAGAAGTTCTCAATCCATACTCTATAAAGCCCTAGGAATTACATGATAATGTATCAGTTGCTTCCCAACATATATATTGGTGTGTCTCCAGAATTTGTTGAAGGAAAGAGTCAGTCCCTGGCTAAAAGTAAGTTTGAAACCCACTGGATCAGTGGTTTCTGAAGCCCCCTCGAACACTAATATCCTATGAATAGTTCTGGAGAGTTAGTGTGGTGAGGGACCCAAACAGTCATTAGCAGTGAGACATTTGAAACCAGAGAGAAGAGTTGACAATGGAGCTAGAACAGAGTGGGGACAAATGAAAACATGTGAACAAGCAATCCTTCAGTCAGGAGGGAGGGAGAGATGGTTCTCAGGGGAGACGCAACAGAATCACTTTTGAACTTTTTCCAAAACACAGTTACACGGGAAAGTTGAAGGGTCCCTGTTACTACTGCCAACTGAGTCACTGTTATGGTGGGAGTGTTTTCCAACCCCTTGTGTGTCTAACAGGAGCCCTAGTGGCAATGTGGGTTACACAGTTGGCTGCTAACTACAAGGTCAGCTGTTCAAAACCACCAGGTGCTCCACAGGAGAAAGATGAGGTTATCTCATCTTACAGCCTTGTAAACCCCAGAGAGTGGTTCTACTCTGTCATCTTAGGGTCATTATGAGTCAGAATTAACTTGATATCAGTTGTTTGTTTGTATGGCAGCAGCTAAACAGAGTTTAAATGAATGACAAAGGAGGGGAAGATGGGATGTTTGAGAAGAGGTGCTGAGCTTCTAAAGGATTTGGGTTGAAGGATTGAAATTTTGGAGAGGCTGAGTATACTTGGAGTGCAGACTGAAGTTTTTGTTAAGGGTGTTGGGGATAGTCTGAGGTGCTGGGGGGTGAGAAGCTGAGCTCAGAATTTCAGGTGAGGTATCAAAAATTCAAACCCACTGCCACTGAGGCCATCCTGACTCATAGCGACCCTATAAGACAGGGCAAAACTGCCCTGTGGGTTTCCGGGACTGTAACTCTTGGGAGTAGGTAGAGATGTGTTTAATGCGAGAAGAAAGCGGAGGCATTCGGAGGGGCTGAGGGCTTAGCAGGTAGGGTCTCTCTAACTCCTCTCCAGTCTTGGGGAGGATCCCAGAGGGCAATCATCAAATCTCAACCGGTTCACCACGTCCACCAGGGCAGGCCTCCCTCTTCCTCTCAACCTCACCCACCATCCCCCTACAGGCGGTGCTCCTAGAAAGCCGGGTAGGGTGTGGGCGTGCAGGGATGGGGTGAGGCAGTGGGGACTGGAGGGGGAGGAGCTTTCTCTTAGTAGGAACGCCGTGGAGGAGTGCCTGATGAGTTGTCCCAAGTCAGAAGAGAGGAGCTCCGCCTGCGAGCGCGGGACGGACCGCGAGACGGACCGCGAGTGGCGAAGAGCGGCGCCCCCTGGTGGGCGGCCGGGCGGCGCGCAGGCGCGGGGATCGCCCACGGCCGGGCGGCGGGGCGGGGCGCAGGCGGCAGAGCGCACCCGAGGACCACGGTCAGAGACGCGTCTGTGCGAGGCACCTCGTTGCCACGGAGTCACAGAGACCCGCTGACCTTTCTCCCCCATCCCAGGAGGATGGGAGCTTTCAACCCCGTCTTACAGAGGGTGCTGAGCTACCTGTGGAACGTGAAGTGACTTCCCTGGATTAGATGGTGAGGCTGAAGGGACCTGGACAGGCAGTGAGGTATGAGGGGAGGCAGTAAATAACAGGGGGAACAACTCAGATGTTCTCCTATCACTGGTGAGATTTAGATAGCAATCCTAAAGCCAATTCGAATCCTAGTTCCAAATCCAGATACTTTCTCAAAGGGGAATATCCATGCTACTGAGCGCCTTTACTGCTACAGTCAGTTGGGAAACAGAAAAGTACAGACAAAAATAGGCAAAGAGCATAAAAAAGGACATTTTATTTACCCTTTTAAAAATTTTATTTAAGTTTAATTTTTTATTTTTTACTCTTTAAAAAACTCATCTTTTATTAAAAATTCCAATGTACAAGGGGGATTTCCCCCCCACCCCCTGAAAAATGGGAAAAAACCTCCGCTTTTGTTGTGCACATATTTCTTACTCGGCAAGCACTGAACAACTCCCTCTGATGTTAGTACATCCAGTGGCGTTGCCTGGGAAGGTTCTCTCTGGTCACAGTGAATTTTTTCATAAAGTCAGTTTCACTTGTCCGCTGAAGACAAAGCGAGTGAATAAGCAAATGTGGTGAAGAAAGCTGATGGTGCCCGGCTATCAAAAGATACAGCATCTGGGGTCTTAAAAGCTTGAAGGTAAACAAGCGGCCATCTAGCTCAGAAGCAA